AACCGAATAACATTGCTACAATTCATTTTCGATTTTTAAACATTGCTACAATCAGACTGACGAGCCCGTCAAATCGTAAAGAGTCATCGACTTACCAAGATTAAAACGATTGAATTCTCAAGACGTCGGGTCCGGTAGATCGGTGTAATTACAATAATTGTAAAAAATGTCCGTTATATATGGAGTGTGTCGGATGCTAAGTGTTCCCAAATCGTCGGTCTCTGAGAATTGCTTCACACCGCGTTAACTTCACCGATGTTTATGTTTAAATTAATGTTCTGTTTCATTCTCGATTATAAGGATATTATGTTTGAGTGATTTTTAGTATTTCGTACAAAAAGGGTATAAACGAAATTCAACAGTAAATTAAAAAGACAAAAACAAAATATACTTCAGACAAAGTGTAAGTTAATCAACGGGTCGTCGGTTGGATCCCCTTCGGGTCCAGCATTGTCTGATCGATTTATAATTTTCGTGAAACATGTTGGACTTTGCCTGGATATCTGGATATTAAATGAGTGGTAGGAATCGAAATCCGGGATTAACCAACGTCCAGAGATGAAAAACCCGTGAAGATTAATCACGTCTCTGATTAAGTCTATGTATTTCCGAATATCCAAAAGCAAAATATTTGATAGCGCGTCTTGATTAGATGTTATACGGCTGTAGTATTTCACCTACCTCAAGCTCCCTCGTCAAGCTTAAAAGCAACACGTTGATCATGATTCTGGGTTAATTAGTAAGCCCTGGAATGGCGAAGAAACCCACAACTGATTGCCAAATCGTGATCGTCTTCAAGTCGGAGCCAATTTGGTCTTCATTTATCGCATCCGGCGATTTAGATACCGGCTCTAAATGCAGGATACTGGAGCAATATCGCCATAGATTGGGTCGGATTTATTGGAATTATAGTCTAAGGAGATTAGATTCTAGTACCACCATATTTGACAAAAAATGATATTAACCACATCAAAATTCAAGCTTTAATAATTTGTAATAAGTTAATTTATTAATTCTAAATTAAATAATAGAATTCAGTAAATATTTTTGGATCTAACATGAGAATACATGTATGTATGTACTCATAATACATTTAAAAAAATTGTGAAATCCTTGAATAAATAATAATAAACTCAATACTGTCTGTAGTTTACGCGAGTAGTACACATTTAAATAAAACACTTAAACGGTTTAAAACGCGATATATTCCAATTAAATCTGTTTGAAAATTACACGGGTCTCCCACGTGTCCGCGGCTGCTGCAAAGCATGCGAAACGTCGGGCCGTAGTTAAAAATAATTTTCATACAAATTTAACTAAAATTTATCGTGTTTTTAACAATTAAAGTGTTTTATTATAAAAAAACAATTTAATCAATAAAATTAAAACGTATATATTAGTTAAACTTATTTGAACTATTTTAACTACGGCCCGACGTTTCTTACCATTTTACAGTATTGAGTTACACAATAGCATACAATAGGTATTACTTAGTGCAAAGTATTTTTTGTTCCATTAATTTTTTAGATTTAGATCAACTGTAGAACCGACAGTGGTATACCTAATGAATAGTTCAAACGTGTAGTACAGAGATTTAGCGGTGGAAACGGAACGACACCCAAACAATATTTGAACAAGGACAAACTAAAGTCAAATAAAGCATGCAGTAATTGAGAGAAAGGTGGGTATTTGAAGAGAACACGATAATTCAATAAGTCGCTAGTTGCCGTCGGAGCTGTTTGCATCACAAATATTTAAGTTCGGTCTTGAACGCGCCGAAGAACAGTTACATGGAAGCGGTTTTATAGATATATAACGTACAACACTACCATACTGCTTGAACCATTATAATTTGCAGGCGTTTAAAATAACTTTTAACGGTTTAAAACGGTTGAGAATTAGTTAGCTTATATTTAATTTGTCTATTTAAATAATAACAATTTCATACGCAAAATGTTTTAGTTAACTTATTTACAATTGTCCCCCGTAACCATGGCTGCAACAAGGCTTCCGAAACGTCGGGTCATAGTACATTAATTACCAATTTTCCCGTTTTAAACCGTAAAAGATTTATTAAAATTACCACTCGAGTAGACTTTTTACAGTAATATATTATTTATACTAATTGCAAATGTCGAAGAGTTTGTTTGTTTAAACGCGATAAAAGTACTGGTTCAAAATTGTTCGAATTAAAGGAACGCTAAAGTGTATGTAATTATGTAACAAAGGAGAAGTGAAAAAAGAAAATTATACACTTTGAGGGGGTTCAAGAAACCAAAAAATATGTATGACATTATAATACTTCCTTAAATGATCTAAAACAATGTCTGCGACAGTATGTTTATCTTCTACGAATAAGTTGCAAAAACAACGGGACGCGGACGACGTCGTCGATACGGTTATAATTTATAAAACTGAGGAGATTGTCTTCAAATAAATAAGGTGCCCAAAATAACTATTTAAGGCGGGCAAAGTCGCGGGCACAGCTAGCACTTTATACGGTAAAAGAACGTTAGCCAGGTCAGCTAGTATTATGATAAGGTTGTTTGTAAAAATAACAATTTTGTTTATTTTCTTTTAGCTGTAAAATCCTTTGTGTAATCTTTTACCATAAAAGGCCGTTCGCTATTAAATAAAATAAATCAATTCGAATTCAATTACGAAATACTTTGAACTACACCTGCCATAACGATAAACTATAAATGGTAGGAGTGTGTCGAATTTACTTAGGCTTTATTGCCTGCGAACCAGTTTTAATGGCTCTTAACATTCTTCTTGGCGTATGAAATCATTTTTGATACAACATCGATCTCTAGTGCGCTGTCGGCCTATTTTGTCTTTGGATATTCAGAAATCCACAACGCAATTAAACCTGGGGCTTTTTGTCTGTGGTTCGTGACCCGGACGGAATTTCTATTGACATGCCACACATTTAATATCCAGATTTGCACACGTGCAGTGAATCGGGCGCATAATATATTTGCCTTAATTTACACGTGTGTAACGTGTAAATAAACTAAAAATAAATATGAATTATGCCTTTGTAACTTTTATGAATAGCTTGCGTTTTTTATAATACGGGGACTTAATAATAAAGTTAAGCAACCTACAGTATATTCGCATGTTTGCGATTATATACAAACATACAGATAAAAAAACAGTTGTGTTATTTATAACTTAAATGTGCAGGCACGTTTCATAGCTGTATAGTAAAACAAAAGCGCAAGTAAGGCTTTGTATCGTTTGACAAACGTTTCTAAAATAACGGTCCGCTGAGAGGCGCCCGCGCAATACGAACACACCTGCGCATGCGCCGTGCGACGACCTTGCACCTCTGTCCTGAATGTCGACGTCACAGTAATCCCAGTTCCCCAACGTTTTGTTTTGTTTGCTGTCACTAAAAGCCGCCAGACCCTAAAAACGTTACCGTGTACCTGTACATCACAATTTCGTTGTCAAACAATGATATTTATCTTAGATACCCGAAGATAAGAAAAAACATTCGAATTATGCTTAGCGTGATTTTAATTTTAACGGCTTAAAACACGAAATATATAAATAAACTTATTTTAGTTATAGATGGTGCTAGGCTAACAGATGTATTTGACTTGACATTAGCGACGCCCTCTATTTCGTGAACACTTCTACTAAAATACCTCAGAAACAGTTGACGAGCTCGTTGGTGTATTGGTGGTTTGAAAATCTGCCGGACAGACAAAAAAGCCGTCAAATTTAATCGCGTTGGGCAGTCTGTGGATTTCCGCATATCCAAAGCCTAAATAATTCGACGGCGCACCTCGTTTAAATGTTTTATAACTATGGTATTTTACCTACCATCATGTGAACTCCATGCTTGCCCACCTCTATTTAAAAAAAAACATTGAGTCAAAAGATTGGTCTAAACCTGCATAAACTACAGACAATACTTAATAAACAATTAAGAAATCATTTCGGCACAAGGTTTCATACATTGTGAAATAAGAATTCTAAGTAAGTGTTTCATAATATTGCTTATTATGGCTAATACATGTTACTTATGACAACATCAATTATGAACGTATCAACCAAATTGCAATCAACTAATATAAATATCGTAACACAATACAAGGGGTTATTAGAAATAATAAATAAAAATTCAGAAACTGATATTTACTTGCCCGCCTCGTTGGCTCAATGGTGGCAAAGTATGGGTAACGATCATCGTGGTCGTAGGTTGGAATACCACTAAGTCAAACATTTTTCGAAAATAATTATTATTATTTCCAAACAATACAAATAGTATAAGGACATGATGTCTTCGCTTTTTAAAGAAATATTACTTCTACGTTGCTGAATGTTTAAATAAGTTGCTCAGGATTGTGTGAAGTCTAAAAGGTCCTGGGTCTAAAGGTCCGGGAAAACAATCTGTTTAAAAAGGTTAAAAAATATTTTCCTACGTTTTTATTTACGGTAGTAGTTTTCTAAACGGACACAGCAATGTAAATATGGCCTGTAGTTTACGCGTGTGTCACACATGAAAAAAATCTTTTAACGGTTTAAAACGCGAATGTTAAAAGTTATCAAGTCCTAGAAACACAGATTACTAGATCCCGAAAAACAGCATACCGGCAAACACAAGAAAACCATTGGCCAATTCTGCAAGGACCCGCCCGTTTCGCCAAAGACCAACTACGACGGAACAGATTTAGCGTAGCAGTTTTTTGCTTTGACGTCAGAGGCATCCACCATCTTTAAATCTCCCCCGTGACCATCCGAAATGTCGGGTTAAAATATTTTGTAAATAAGTTTCGACTTATACATTTCGCGTTAAAAACCGTTAATAGTGTTTTATTTAAAATCAATATAGTGTTCGCTTTATAATCCATGGGAGAAAACGGGACTTAAGTAAGTATTAATATCTAAAATAAACTTTATTTTCTTACATCTCCTTTCACTTCAAATTAACAGAAGTTTCTAAAAACATTTTAAAGCCATAAACGGATTTTTTGAACTCTGTAAGTTTAAGTAAGCCCTTCGAGTTCTTCTTTTTGTTCCTGATTCTTGGCAATTTTTCCAATCGCTTCAGCTTCTTGAACGGTATCTGGCAGTTGCGTGTTGGCTGTTTCTGGCATCAAGATTGTTAGGGCTCCGGAGAGGAGCGATGATGCACCAAAGATAAATGCCGGTAGACCAGACCAGTACGTCATCTGTCAAAAAAAAAATAACTTAGTGGTTAAACGCGTTGCTTAGTATTGCGTTAAGCGGGGCAGGTTCTGAATTCGAATCGCGGGTAAACAACAAATCGTTTTGGATAAGCCAGACAAGTACGATAAAACAAATCAATCGATCAGCGGAACGGTCATATAATATGTGGCCTGCACACACAACTGTTCTTCAGGGGAAACAGGACCCAAGTCATAGGTTACTAAACCGAGTTATAAGATTTTTTTTGAGTAAGAATTAACATGTTAGCAATTTAATATATTTATGGATCTAGTAGAACTTCAATCTAGTACAAACTTTATGTTGTAACCGCAAGTTGAAGTTATAATGCTGTATATGTATAACGGTTTTAAACCTTCAACTGTTTATTTAAATGTGTACTACTCGCGTAAACTATAGACAGTATTTACAGTATACTCACAAGTAATGGAGTTTGTGGAGCCAATAAGGATCCAAGCCGTCCAATAGATGAGCATATGGCATGCATGGAGTTTCTTGTGTATGTTGGAAACAATTCCGAAGTATACATGTACACGATGTTGTAGGAAAACGTCGCCAATGTTTCAAAGGCCATGAGCAACAGGAGGCCTAACCAGGTGTAGCCTAAAAGGACAAATATTATAACGCCTCTATGTAATATTATAAAGCTGAAGAGTTTGTTTTATTGAACGCGCTAATTTCAGGAAATACTCTTTCGAATAGAAAAATTATTTTCTATTTGTTAGAGTATTTATTGAAGAAGGCTTTAAAACATTACGCTACCACCAATAGGCTGAGAAAAAACTGTATAAAAAATGAATTTTTCTCTTTAAAATAAAAGAAAATTATTTATTCTCTTTAAAATTATAAAAAAATATTTAGATTCGTCAAATTTTTTTTTGTTTGTTCGTCGTGATTCTACAGAGTATTCAAAAGAGCAACATAACTGAGAAGAACACCCAAGAAACTCAGTCCGGCTTTTTTTAAACTTGTCTTGTAAACCAATACATTGTTGAATTTATTAAGGCCTAGGCAGCAATTCAGTATTATTACCAGGCGGTCTTGCTCATTAAAAAAATCGTTCCGACAATAATACGCCTTTTGAGACAATCTAACGTTTTATAACTTTTTTAAATTTATTTATCGATAAATTTGACACCTCAACTGGCAATGTATTGTACATACGAATACAATTCCCCGCAAATGAATTAGATATTTTATGGAGCCTATATTTGGGGATAGCTAGGTTATCCTAATTTCGTAAGTTCAAATTATGCCTATCACTAATCTTGCTAAACTTGCTTTTATTCTTATGGGCAGTATATTTATGAAAATGTATTGTACATTTTCATAAATATACTGCGAGTACACAGTAAGTATGCCGATATTCTTAAAGGTAAGGCCTCTTAATGACTCCCGAGATCCCATACCATAGATAGCCCGGACCGCCTTTTTTTGCAACACAAAGATACATTCAATGTCGGCAGCGTTACCCCACAATATTATGCCATATGTCATAACACTATGGAAGTAGCTGAAGTAGACTAGACGCGCTGTTTTATTGTCTGTTAATTGTTTGATATTTTTATATACGGCAATTAGATTATTACAATAGACGTATAATTTCTCCCTTTTTTCCACATTTACTTCTAATTCTTTGCTTTGTTAATGTCTTAAGTTTTCCTCAATTAATTGTCTATCCAAAATATAACAATTTTCAATTTAAACCAGTAGTTCCTGAGATTAGCGCGTTCAAACAAACAAACGAACTCTTCAGCTTTAAATATTAGTATAAATGAACACTGTAGTTAAAGACCCACCTTTTGGCAAAAACGGTTGCGATATGCAAAACAAACCGCCAATTATAAACGAAGCTATCAGGGGCACCTTCCTCTTGTACTTGGACAAAGCTAGCCAGTAGAACACGTTAGCTGGTACATCCATCAGCATGAGAAGTGCGAAATTAATATACTTATTGCCATCAATCAGCACCGAGCTGATCATCATACCATAATTTATTAGAGTGATCGTCAACCACCACACTATACAGACGAGGAACCTCTGCATCATTATCCTAGACTTGAATGTCTTCATCAACAGCTTGAAATCGCTCTGGCTGGTTGCCTGCACTTCTTTGTAGTCTAATTTATTGAGAACCATTCTGTCTACATGAACCTTATTGCGATTTGCAATTTTCTGGATAAGCTTAATAGCCTTCTCTTTCTTTCCTTTGCTGAACAGCCATCTGATGCTTTCGTCGAGAAACAACGAGTAGGTCAAGATGATGAGTGTGGGTGCGTAAATCACCCGAAGGAAGTGTCGCCAATATGGTACAGCCCAGGCTATGAACGGCATTAGAATTAGACCACCGGTGTAACAGTTGAGTAGAATCATTTGGAATAAAACAGCGCGTCTTTTTTCCACGATCTCAATACCTGAAAGAGTTTTTAAAGAGCATTTTAAATGCGTAGTAAGAGTGATTGTGGTTGAAAGTTAATAAAAAACCTTTGAAAAATAAAACTTCGTTTGTGTAATTACACATACAAATTAAGTAAAGTATGATATAATGTTTATTTCGATGAGAGGTCTCTCGCAAAGGGTATCTGGTATAGAACCATTATATGTGCCCCCCAGTAGACCCGTGGTATATTTTAATTAATATAAATAGAAGAGATGTTGTGTCTTTAATGCGTTCCGGACATATTCCGACAAATAAATTCAAACATCTTATAAGGGTAGCATCAAGTCCCAATTGCTTAGATTGTGACGTGGTGGAAGACGTGACCCATGTTATGTCGGAGTGTGTACGGAATGCGGCATATAGAGAATTAAATACTGTCTATAATTTTCAAATAAGTTTAACTAATATATCGCGTTTTAAACCGTTAAAGTGTTTTATTTAAATTTAAATATAGAGAATTATTTAGTAAATCTGTATGTTTTAAAAATGTGGTGGGTGGTGTGTAGTGTCTTAGCCTTTCCATTTTCGGGGGAGGCTAGGATACTACTAAACTTATATCATAAGGCTATAACGTAGATAGTTTTAGAGTGTAGATATTCTATTAATTCGGAATTGTAATTGTAAATTTTGTATTATTGGGCGACATAACTTAATAAGGTTAAAGCCTATTAAATAAAGATTTAAAAAAAAACTTTGAATACAACTTATTTGCTGCTACTTGACTATTTTTAGCACTTGTTGTTTAGATATTGTCTGTAAATTACGCGAGTAGTAGACCTGACACTTACAGTCACCGGGAGACTAAACTGGATTCCGGGCCGTAGTTAAAATGATTCCCAAATAAGTTTAACTAAATATATCGCGTTTTTAACCGTTGAAGTGTTTTATTTAAACTTGTTGTTCAGTTAATATTTCCTAAAAGTTTAATAATTTGATTGAAAATACGCACGTGTAAACTGAAACTTAAAAACGGATAAAACTAATTTATGTTCAATAAAATCCCCAATTTACTTACTTAACATGAAAATTGGTGACAGAGCATCACCGATGGCTGCTTCCAGACCTTCCAAGATTATGTAAACCCAGAAGGACGATACAAAGCTCTTCGCGATCCCGAATACCGCCCCCATTGTCCCAGCAAAGACTGCTGCAGTTTTTCGACCGAATCTAATAATTATACATATATAAGTATCATACTTTTTTAATGACAGAAGACAGACAAACGTGTCTCACTTGATGGTAGGAGAATTACCCCAGTCTTTAGCATCTAAACAAGAAGCTGTGACGACCGATTTTGGCTTTGGATATTCGGAAATCCACAGATTGATACCAAAATGTAATTAAACTTCACGGCTGCTTCATCGTGATCCCGACGGAATTTCGATATACCTACCACTCAATTAATATCCAAATTTCCAGCAGTCCAACATATCTCAGAAAAATGTAAGTCGGGGGGGACCCATGACCTGTTGATTATAAGCCGTACATTGCTACTTCTACACCTACGAGACCGTCAATATATATAGATTTCATATTATAGATGTGATATATAATGTGAGAATCGTCTCTCTTTGCGGGGCAGACATATTTCTATGTCCGTTTCATTTTTCGATCAACCCAGGACAGCCAGTCTGCTTGAATTTAATTTTATCCGCTTAAGTCTTCAATATCTCTAATCTCTAATAAGAGACTAAAGACCAAGCTGTGTGCATCCCGACGGTCGAATAATGGTAGCCCGCCGATAGCAAAAATAATACGCAAATTAATAAATTATTTTTAAATTTTCATATATTATTATCAATTCTTTATCGTCTTTATTTACCAATACTTATCATATCCCTCATCAGTTCGTGATTTGCCCGGGGGCCCATTCTTAATTAGTCTGTCTATCAGATGGTGATGGTGGTGGTTTTATTGTATCAACCGTCATAAATACCTGTCAGAAATCTGTCCCTGAAGTAGCAACCCCACCATGGCACCAAAACTGTGGACTGTACCGATTAGTGGAGGCTTCCAATCTTGACAGGCTAATCCAAACTAAAGCATATTACAAATTCAATAAATCCAAAAGTTGCAGTACTGCCTATATTCTTTATTATATACAATGTTGAAATAAAACATATTTAGCGGTTTAAAACGTGCAATGTATTAGTTAACTTATTTACAATATAAGTAAATAGGCCATAGTTAGGATAAACTGTAAATATTTTAACGAATTCTTTTTTAAATAAAATACAAAAAAGAAACATTAAAATAAAATATAAAAACACGAAATATTTCATAACGCATGGTACTTTTTTCTGTGCATATCATTTGTTGAAATTGGAAAAACTGTCATGGACGGCTATTCGTGGTTCGGATGGACTAATCCATCAAGTTTAATCTAGTTTAAATATTATACGGCTGGGGTATTTCTTCTTTCAAGTAAACCCTAGGGGCACACTGAAAGTTACATATTCCAATGTCATCCGCAAAAGGGGGGATGGGGAAATGGTTGCGAGATAAAGCGGACTGGTCAGCCGGTGCCCCATAATAGGCAAGACATAGGTCAAAATATTATTAAAAATGCTAAAATTACGACACGACTGCACATCTAGTTCAGATGTTATATGGCTGGAGTATTTCTCCTCTCATTAAGTGAACTGCATGCTTGTCAGTCCTCGTCTATCATAAAAAAAAATATCTGAGTACGGAACCCCTCGTTAGACATGCTCTCAACGAATTTTAATCGAATAAAACTATTAAAGATGAACTCGCATTGGCATTAAAATGGTGAACTTGCGCATGGGTCACGTGTAAGGCTTTCAAAGGTAATTACAGAGTTCTGAATAACTTGGTAATTTGTGCTCGAAGTCGTGACCGGTCGCTGATCGAAACGGCTCTTGCGTTACTTAAAACTTTTTTAACTTATTTTGGTCGTTTTATAATGTATGGCCCTATACTTTTATATAAGATAATATTAGATAGTGACCGATTTTTATAGCTAACACACTTATCTGTTAAAAAAATGCTAATTTAACTAATGCCGTTTTAATCCGTCATAACTGTTTTATTTAAATGTCTACAACTCCTACGCGTAAACTTATTTGTAATTTATTTTAACCTAAGCCACACGTTTCGTATGCTATAAAGCAACCGTTTTACACCGCTAAAAGTCTGAGTCACAGCGTGATGCTGTAGACCCTATAGCCTTTCTTAATAAATGATCTAACCAACGCAAAAATAATTTTTCAATTCGAACCAGTAGTTTCTAAGATTAGCGCGTTCTAACAAACAAGTTTTTCAGCTTTATAATATTAGTACAGATTCTAGACTATATTGGTCTTCGTTACCTCGGCAACAAAACTATTTGGTACATCGTAGATCCAGTCCGTACAAGGTTTTGTTGTGCTGGTGTTAAGTCCACAATCGTCTTTATGTTGATAATAACATTGTTTGATATCCTCGTTTTTTGGAAACCATGCAGCTTCGTTTGTTTCGCCACAATTAGAATTTTTACACCTGTAAAATATTTAAAACGACACAATTAAGTTTTTTGTCCTTAGATTTTGAAATAATTTATTCGAGTTTAGTTTCTCCAAATATGAACTACAAAGGTGCAGATGGCGCTAGAGTTGCAGAATTGAATTTGACATTAGGGACATCCTCCATCTTTTGTTGTGTAGTAAAGCCTTCATAGTTAAAATAATTTAAAAATAAGTTAACTAATATATTTCACGTTGTCAATCGTCAAAACAGTTTTATTTAAATAAGTAACAATATTTAAAAATGCTTTTTATATTATAACCAATGAATAAATTGTGACCGTACAAAATAATTGTTAAAATTTCCCGCCAATTTATTATGCATAAAAATGAAATGTTAGTTTTTATTCAAAGATAAGAAAGATATACTCATAAGTAAGGTGCGTAAAACCGGTTACTATTGATAATACGGAAAAAACAAAGCTAGTAAATTTTATGTAACTATTTCAAGAGAAACATTCAATATTGTGTTTATAGTAGACAAATAAAATTTGACAGAATTTTAAATAAATTAAAACCTACTTTAGATTGATACGGAAACTATACAGGTGGGTCTTGAACCCACATCGTCCCGTGCTTTACCACCAGATCTATCGTGTATCTTATTTAATTATCAAAAGTCAAAAATAATTTACTCACGTAGGTATCTAAGTACACTTATGAACATTACATCAGTAAAAAACGAATGACTCTAAATTTACATTTACTACCAGTTCTCAAATCAAGGGTGTAGGACGAACAAGAATTGGCAAGAAACTCGCCATCACACCTTTTATCGCCTAGTTTCATTTCGCAATTACAAAAGATAAATAATTACGTTTAAAGCTTCATACATAAGTCAAATTTTAAATTATTTTATTTTTATTTATTTTTTATTTACACTTTTGCACAAAAAAAAATAACAAAAATATAAACTTATATACTAAACATATGGAGTGCAATGGGCGGCCTTATCGCTAACGAGCGATCTCTTCCAGGCAACCCAAGATTGCCGCGATTTTGACCGCGTCTGTAGCTAGAGACATATACAAGGAACGGGAATCTAATGAACCCATACAGGATCATAAGATGGCTGAAACTCAATATGCGAATATAAAACAATATTTTAGCTCAGAAAGAAACACTAGATAAGCATAGCATATCGCATAGGGTGGTATTTATCATGAATGTGAAAGGATTAATACGACGTATGGCACACGAGATTTCATGAATAAGTAAATAATTTCCACTCACCTATAGTTAACATCTTCAATAGCAAACACATAATTGACGTTGTACATTGAGTTAGTAGCATAAACTAAGGACAGTAGACCAAGGGTGATGATCTGGTGCCGTCCAAATGCCCCAAGCGTTTCCAGGACCGAATCTAACTGGACCCGGTCATCGCTCATGTTTACATTGCTTCGTTAAAATACCTGAAACTATATTATATGTATAATAAATTGAAAAAAAATTCGACTCGAGCAGGATTTGAACCGGCATCGTCAGCGTTCCGTGCTGTTGCTCTACCAATTGAGCTACCGAGTCCTACACCTCATCGTCGAATTTTTTCAACTTATTGACACATGCATGCAGGTGCATATATCAATACCTGTTAATTTACTTACGAAATATAGGAACTCTGTGGACGACACGATAGATAATACGTGAGAAGTGAATTGAATACTTAATGTCTTATATAAAAATACTCCTAAATTCTATGGACAATTAAAAACGCACGAACCGTGACGAAGATAGCAAAAATGAGAGTATTAATTTGATTTATTTCAATACCATATAGTGACCCAACAATGTTATAGATCATCGCGTTAATGTGGAAATTCACAGTTTAGTTTTAGGGTTCCGTATTCGTAGGACAAGAACGAAACTCCTACAATTATAGTATTAAACACTATAATCTGCTACGCTAGTGCCATCTGTTTTGTCGTAGTTGATATAGCTATAATTGGAGTTTGTAGAAGATAAGTAATATATTTCGCGTTTTAAACCGTTAAAAGTGTATGTATTTTTTAGTAATATATAAGTTATGCTAATTTGAGATATAATCTATACTAAATATGGGTAATAAAGTATCGTATTGAATGTTATTTAATTAACAAACAAGAATTTGTGTGGTCCTCGACATTTTACGAATTTAATGTCTTCGCGATAAATTAATGACAGATATTATTCAGGTTTATTCTGTGGACTTAACGAGTTAGTTAGATTGAAAAATGTCTCTACGGGAGGGATTTGGACCGACATCTACAACGTTTTGTGCTGCTGCTTTAACCAATTGAGCTACCGTGTCAGAGCAGCTCGGATTGCTGCGGGTGTCGGTTTAAGTCCCGACCGTGTCGTCAAATTTGTTATTTTTTTTTATATGTTAATATAAAAAAATCTAGACAATAAAAACATAGGATATAGGAGACGGTTATATCAACAGAATGGAACGCTGTGGTTCAAGTTCCGACCGTGTCGTAAAATTTATTAAATCCTTATTCGGTTATATATAAAAATATAAACTCGTCGATTAAAGCTTATTGGTCCGTTATAGCAACAGCATGGAACACTATGGATGCAGGTTCAACTCCTGCGCATGTCGTAAAAAAAATTAAATCTAAAATCGATTTTAAATTTTTGTGTGCGATAAAATGTGAAAAATTATATACTTTTCAAACAAGCTTACTTTTCACATTGTCTACATTGTAGCATTTGTGTTTGAAACAGTCAACTACGTCTTAGATTTAAATATAAATATTTAAAAGTTTAAACTACTAAGAAAGTTAAAATTAATATCGCCATTATTTACAGTTATAAAGTAAAGTAACTCACCCGTAGACGCAGGTTCGAAAACAAAATTATGAGACAGTTGACTGGAGCAAGTTATTGTAGACAAGTGGTTCTTGTGACCACAATGTACCACTAACTGCCACAAATAGATAATGTCAGGTACGAGCCGGCTTATCAAACCGTTCAGCGTTTTAATGTCTCTGCATTTTCTATCGTTTTATCATAATTTAATACTTGTTTTATATGTATATTTAAATAATTCCGATAGGACTCCAATTTTAAATACATCGGCTTAGCGGTTGCGTCAAGCGCGAGAGGTCGTGGCTTCGTATTGTGGGGAAACAGAAAAGTGTATATTGGGTTGTAATAATCGATCGATGTAATGGACATAGATAAATGTCTGGTCATTGCTGCACGCAGTAGAAATTCATATTACGTTTTATGGTTGAGAATACAATCTCAACTATACGTATATATGTTTGTCTGTCTGTCAGCCTTTTTCCTTATGTATAGATAGTGTATGTACATACGACAAAGCGTAATAATTCAGCGTGGGCTGGTAGCTCTCGTTTGGGACATAAATAGGACGATTGTTTGAAGATGTCGTAACCAAATATTAAACTTGTTGTATTCGTTTGACTAGTTATCGTCCGCGAAATTGTCTGCTTAAAAAGCGGGTTCTAAATGAATGAAGAAATAAAATATACATTGTATTTAAACAAACAACTTAAACGGATTAAAACGCGAAGTTATCAGTTAAGTAATTATTAAATATGACTGGACGTTTCGGATACTTTGGAACAGCTGCAGTCACGACGGTGCTATATATGTCAAAAGTGTTATACCATACATTGAAAATGTACTTGTTATCGAAGTTTTGAATATTCAGGAAGGTCAATATGACAAATCATACGACTTATAAGAATCGGTAATAATTTGCATTATTAATTCCTTTAAATAAAACATTTTAACGGTTTAAAACTTGAAAAAGCCGTGGTCGCGGCTTCTGCAAAGCATTCGAAACGTCGGGCCGTAGTTGAAAACTGTCAAATAAAATTAACTAATATCAAGTTACGTCTGTAATTAACGTGAAAAGGACACATGTCAATAAAACAATAGCGTAGCAAATTTAACTTTGATATTAAGGACACTCCATAATCCAAAATTCCAGGTCCTACTTAAAATTAAGATAAACTATAAAGTTCGCGTTTTAAACCGTTAAAGTGTTTAATTTAAATTTGTACTAGTCGCGTAAACTAAAGACAGTATTTTATCGCTTCTTATCACTCATACTGACTACTAAGTCAGTGTAATCTTTAATAAATATTAGATCACAGACAAAATAGTATTTTCATTGCGGAAGGAGGAAAATGCATATTACAAGGTCATACTAATGTAGATGTTATTGTTAATAACAACAAAAAAAATAAATGGGAATGCGACGATAACTCTAGAGTTAGTCATAGAAGTACTTACTAGGAGAATGCCAAAACACCGCGGTTTTTTTCTGCCAAAGGAGGACAGGCAAGCATTTGATGGTAGGAACCCAACCCCTGCCATCTAACATTTAAACAGGATGCACTGTCGATCTATTTCGGCTCTGGATAGTCACACATCGGCAGATAGAAATCTTTACACCTGACGACGGTGGGTCGTGAATTGGACGGAATCTCGATATACCTTCTATTTAATATCTAGACTTTCTATACGTTTTAGAAAAAATATGAATTCATAAGAATCATGTTAGCTCCGGTGGGAATCGAACCGGCAACCCTTTCATTATTATTAGCCACATATACACTGCTGCTCTTGAACCAAGCAACGAGCCTGGCATAACATATTACTATGTTATAATGGTAGTGCTTGTGTTGTCTATGATCTGTGCATTCCTGCACGTTGCGTATGCGCATCACGCGCGTTGCGGCCGTTGCGCCGAAGTCTATGCCAGGGCAAGGACGCTAGAGATTCATAAAACTCCTGTTTATAGTCTTTAGTTGTTTATTTAATATGTTGAAGCGGTCTTTGTAGGCTGTTTATTGTTTTGATTAAGGGGTTTTTACTTAGATGAATTTATAGTTTATGAATTATTATTAATTTTAAAATAAAACAGTTTTAACGTTTAAAAAAGCAGTTTAAAACGTGATATATATTAGTTAGACTTATTTGGAAATTAATTTAACTAAGACCAGACATTTCGGATGCTTTGAGTGGTCACGGGGAGACTGTCACTTTATATATAAAGTGTTTTATTTAAATGTGTGCTACTCGCGTAAACTACAGACATTGTACTTACACTTTTAACGGTTTGAAACGAGGACATGTTCCCGCCCGTGAACCCACCTGCTCTAAAGCATCTTTTAGCTTTTCAAGTTATAAAGTTAAAAATGTTTTATTTAAATGTGTACTATTCGCGTAAACTATAAACAATAATTATTATGATGTATATTTCTAGCATTATGTTATCAATTATTTTAAACCTGTCTGTTTTTGTTACAGATTCTACAAAGTGTGAAGAACTCGTCAGTAGCTCACAGAGATAGTATAAAGGCTGGTGAAAGTGTGATTCTGTTGGTATTTCAACACCAAAATATTTGACTAGTCTCTTAATTGTGAGTGAGTTTGGCATTAAAATGGCTTACACAATCGTACATTATAACGTTACGTAAAAAGGCTAAACTTTGCCTCGTTAGTCGATTAGTACACCAGCAGATTATGAGATACTGGGTTCGAATCCTGGATCGGGATGAAGGCTAATTAAGTATTAGCAAGGTCATTAAACAAATACCAGTATCGGTCCCTTCGATTGTTAGTAGTGTAGTAATTGAAGCCCGCCAATCGCCAGTGTAAGTGATCCCCAGAGTAGTGTGGTGGGTCTCAGCTCATCAGGCCTTCTTCCTGCAGAGACATAAATAGTTTGAAAGTCGTTTTTTTATTTCTTTACACCAAAACGATGACATATACACACAAAATATAGAGAGGTCCTGGGAGCGAATCCCGGGAAAACAATAAATTGTTTCGGTGAGACAGGGAAGGTCATGTCTGATCAACTTATTCACGTGTGGAAGAACGATCAGTAAAACAGACACATAAAGTCTTTGCCCCATGCCCTTTGCCCCAGAGGGCAGAACAGAATCATATTTTTTTACATTAGTTAGTACAAAAAAACTACTTCGCAATACTAGTTAGAAGCGCAGTAATTGATTTATAAAAAAATAAAACCAATTATATGAGATGATAACACAATTTCGTATTGAAAAGATTCTATAAAAAGATGTTTGGTGGCAGCATTGTATTATTTATCATGTAATTCAATTAATTGTTGCTTTGTAGAAGCTCCTTGGAGTTATAAATCGACAATAGAGCCTTTTATTTAGATAATAGTCGCTTAGTTTTGATGTACGATTGTGCTTTAGGTCATTAATTTTTTGGCCTTAGACAGGACCTGACTTATAATCCCAGCAAATTTGATGTAGATTCAGTAATCACTAATAGTGATGTCAAGAAAATGGGAAAAGTAACAAATAGTGATAATAAGTCACTAATAGTGATGTTAAGTTACAAATAGTGACAAAAAGTAACTGAGAGTGAAGTTAAGTTACAAATAGTGATGCTAATTGAC